AGCTACTTCATCATTAGGTTTTTCAAAAAAAAAAAAAGTGAAAAAAAATGTTGGAAAAAAAGTATCGATTAATGTTTCTTCATATGGCCTTATTTTATGGATGAGTTTCACATAACCCGGTTGTCCCTCAGAACAGACTAAAAGCCACTGAGCTGAGCTCCTATCTTAAACACTTAATTTCTCACTTCATCTTCACCATCGTCTTTTAAGATTCCATGCCCTTGCCTATCCCACAGACTTCCCCATGAGACATCCTTTAATTTTAAGGCATCTAGATCATATGTAGGCATAGAATATGGTTGATGCAGATAAGGGAGAAACTAGTGACTTAATATGCTGTAAAATGCTCGGAAGAGGGCCAGGCATAGTGGCTCACACCTGTAATCCCAGCAGGTTGGGAGGCTGAGACAGGCGGATCACTTGAGTCCAGGAGTCTGAGATCAGTCTGGGCAACATGGCGAAACCTGTCTTCACAAAAAATACAAAAATTAGCTGGGTATAATAACGTGCCCTGTAGTTCTAGCTGCTTGGGAAGCTGAGGTAGAAGGATGACTTGAGCCTGGGAGGGTGAGACTGAGTGGGCCATGATCACACCACTGCACTCCAGTCTGGGCAAGTGTGACCCTGCCTCAAAAAAAATGCTCTGAAGAGTGTGCGTGTGTGCGTGTGTGTGTGTGTGTGTGTGTCCAGCATTTATCTCATGTTTTTCTTTTCTTTTTCTTTTTTTTTTTTTTTGAGACAGGGTCTCACTCTGTCACCCAGGCTGGAGTGCAGTGGTACAATTCCAGCTCCCTACAACCTCTGCCTCCCAAGTTAAAGTGATTCTCTTGCCTCAGACTCCCGGATGGCTGGGATTACAGGTGTGCGCCACCACACTAATTTTTTTTTCTTTTTTTTTTTTTTTTTGTATTTTCAGTAGAGACGGGATTTCACCATGTTGGACAGGCTGGTCTCAAACTCCTGACCTCAAGTGATCTACCCACCTCGGCCTCCCAAAGTGCTGGAATTACAGGCATGAGCCACCATGCCCAGACATGTTTTTCATTTTAAGTAATTCCACTCAAGATGAAGAAATAATATTCAATGTATATGAAACAGCCAGTAAAAAATGAGTCGGGAATTTTCAGGATGCAAATCAGGAGTTTAAATTTTTATCTAGGATTTTATGTAAATATTGGACCTGCAAAAAAGTGGTTTTAGCTTGTGTTTACAGTCTAAATACCCCTTTCTCAACACTAGCACCCACCAAGCCTACCCCTACTCCACTAAACTAACCAATCAAAGCTAGGATACTATCAAGCACCTCATCAAAAGAGTTTATAGTGAGATAATTTACCTCAATGTTACATACTTGACTGTGTACATAGAAAAGGCTGACGGGTATAGGCTTAACAATACTTGAATTTAGGTCAGGCATGGTGGCTCCCTCCTGTAATCCCAGCACTTTGAGAGGCCAAGGCAGGCAAATCACTTGAGGTCAGGAGTTTGAGACCAGCCTGGGCAATATGGTAAAACTCCGTCTCTACCCAAAATACAACAAAAAAAAAAATCAGCTTGTCATGGTGGCACCTGCCTGTAGTCTCAGCTACAAGGGAGGCTGAGGTGGCAGAATCTCTTGAATCCAGGAATTCAAGGCCGTAGTGAGCCGAGATCATGCCATGGCACTCCTGGGCAATAGAGTGGCCCTGCCTCAAAAAAAAAAAAACTTGAATTGATTTAGTAAAGTTCAAAGTATCATCTACAATTTTAAAAAGATAATATTAAAAGAATAGTATTGTCACACATCTCATATAAAATACTCATTTCTCTTAAAGAAGAGACTTCTATGAGATACCAAACCAGGTTGTTTAAAATACAAGATATGAAGATCCTTACTAAATAAAGAAAACCCGGCATTCATGTGACTTCAATAGCACATGAGTAGTTGAGGCTCAAAAAAGGAAGTGGATTCCTGGGCGTTCATGGCCCTTTTGTTCAAAACAGGATAAGAAACAGAAATGAGTGAACAATTCTTTAAAAACTCTAAAGAAAAGGAAAATGGCTTTCCCTTGATCAATTTCCAATGATTAACAACGTGCTTTTTCATTAAATGGGGAGAGGTAAAGCTCTGAGGACCTAAGGACCCATGAGATAACTAAAAAGCAGCAGGTTTTTGCCGAAACCACAGACCGCCTCCCTGTAATATACTATACCTTCAAATCTCTGCATCCTGTAATTTCAAATGAAAACTCTTAATGTCTTAAGTTTTAAATGTCATATTTTTCATTAACATTGGAAGATACATTTTAAGAAGGCAAAAGAGCACAGTGGCTAAAAGTTCAGGCCCACCTGCTCATCTATGGATTTAATTTCTCACCATAAACAGGAAAAAAAATGCATCGATTACTATTATCATATGGTATAGGAATTTCCATAAGTATTTTTAATAATCAAAAAGAAGGGAAAGTGTTTCCTCTCCTTAAACATGACCTTTCCAGAAGAGTCTAAGCTATTTAACATGGGAGCAGGAAAATACATCAGCTTAATCTTTCCTAGTTTCCACTACTGTTTATAATCTAAAACTGCTTTGTAAAAATGTATAGGTCACTGCTTATATTAAAATGACAAAATATGAAATTAAACAGTTCTCATCAATAGTGATCTCCTATTGTATTGTCAGAGATGGAATTCCAAATCACAGCTGAAGCTTTTAGTCAAATTGACAATTACAATGCAAATACCCAGGCTCTGGTGTCTTAAGAAAAGGGGTGGGAAGCAATCTTTCGCTCCCTCTTTCTTTGTAATTTTGTGCATTCTGCAAAGAGAGAAGAAAATAAGTACAGAAAATTTCTCTAATTTTCTCTTGCAGAAAAGAACAATTGTCTCTTTAGTACTATTCTTATGCTCACCAGATGTAATTTGCTTTGAGAACAAATGTATAAAAATCAAGGTTAAAAAAAAAAAAGCCTACCCACATGCTGTATCTAATTATTCAACAACATATCCTCTTCAAAGTAATTACCAACTTACAAGGGTATGCCTTCTTTTGTGAAATGGAAGGAAATGGAATTTCAGAAAACAAAAGCAGATCTTTCTATCAGCTTACATTAAATTTCAGTGTTTCAATTTTTGTTCCTAATTTTCAATTAACAGTGAAAAAAAAAACTTTTAAAAAATCTGTCGATTAATAAAGGTTAACGATCTACAAGCACACACAAGTGTATTTTTAGAACTCTTAGAAAAATCATTTCATAAATGAAAAGAATTTCCATTTGTTTTGAATCTTTTGGGTTTCTTGTTGTTTCTACTTTTTATATTTTATGTATAGACCAAAGACACATTTAAAGGGAATTTCAACAAATTAAAATTATAAATGATAGTCACAAAATATAACCAATATAATAAAATAAGAATCCATGAGTGCACATAATAAAAAGTTCTTTCTTACAGTAGGATTCTATAAATGTAGAACGAATCATATTAAATCACTATCTGGCACTACTTATAGCAGTAATTGTTTCAGATGAGTCAATAATAGATGCTAAAATTAGTGAGCAAAAGTACAATCGAAACAGGATATGTTGAAGTCCCAAAGAGTTATCCTATAAAATAGATAATTTTAAGAGAACAATTGTAACTTTACAGTGGATAAACCCACCCGGTAGGCAACACGATAGCCAAGTGTTCAGTTTTCACCAGTAATGTAACAAACCAACATTCTATGACTCCTAAGATGACACTATGGGAAGGACATAACTCCAATTATCTAAGTTTCAAGCCAAAAGTCCATCATCTGAATCTAGTCATGAACAAATATCAAGAAACCCAAAATGAAAGCCATTCTACAAAATAAATTGTTTACACCCTGAGAAGTCATCACTCATGATGACTGAAAAACCGTTCCAGATTAAAGGAAACTAAAGAGACATGACAACTAAATGCTATGTGTGAACCTATATTTTATCCTGGATCAGGAAAGGACACTACTGTAGTAGCAAAATTTCAATAAAATGTATAGATTAAGCCATAGTATTTTATTGACTTCAATTTCCTAATTTTGATTGTCATACTGTAACTGCAAAAGGAAACATACATATCAAATTATTTAGATGAAAAACAATTTATTTTTTAATCAGTTGACTTTAAGATTCACAGATAAGTATGTATATCATGTCTGCAAATTAAAAATGTTTCACAAAAAAATTACATATATGTGGATGTACCTAGAATAAATGATGAAACAAGTCTGGTAAAATATGAATAATAAGGGAATCTAGGTAAAGGTTATACAGAAATTCTTTATTCTAAATTTTCAACTTTATCTATGTCTGAAATTTCACATTAAAAAGAGTACCTAAAGGGTAACTATTCTCCATTTTAAATTGGTTTGATAATAACCTAATTCAGGAGTTGTCAAACTTTTTCTGTAAAGGGCCAACCTGCCAATACTTTAAACCTTGTGGGCCATATATTCTTGTGGGCTACAACTACTCAACTCTGCCACTGTGTCACAAAAGCACCAACAGACAATATATAAATGAATAGGAGTGGTTGTGCTCCAATAAAACTATTTACAGAAATAGACGATGGGCCAGATTGGACCTGTGAGCCATCGTTTGATGATCCCTGGTCTAGTCTATGCCCAGAAAAATTAATCAGAATAATTATACTTTCAGTTAACATTTTCTGAGCATATGACAGACAGTATGTTGAGAGCTTTACTGGCATTAATTCATTTATCCTTGCACTATTCTAATTAGGTCAATAGTATTATTATTTCCATTTTCCACAGACAAAACTAGCTCCTAGAGAAGTTAAGAAACTTGCCCAACTAACGTCACATGGACAGCAAGTATGAAACCAGGGAGGTCTGATTCTATACAATGAACTACAACCAATATGTGATATTAATACTTCTCAGATGGGTTGAATTATACTGTCACATGCAATAACCATTTTAACATGGCTAAATAAATATCCAAATTCAAGATTTACATTCCATGAAAGTGCTTTTCACAAACCTCCTGTAGCTGCAGGGACATGAGTCCCAGTTGATCCTGGCGTCTTTCCACCAGCGCCCTTTCTGTGCGCATCTCTCTCTCTAGTTCCTGAAGCCGCCGCTCCACCCGATCTGAAGCCTTAATAAGAATTCAGAGAAACAGCAGCATTATAGAGCTAGCAAGCAAAACAGACTAAATTGAGAAGATAGTTTTATAGCAGATACACTACTGCTTAAAGCATTTAAGACTGTTTTGTTTGCAAAGCCCTGTCTAATGACACTAAAATGAAATAGCTGGCCAAAAAACTTACTGAAAGTTAGAAAAGAAAGTCATCATTGATCTCCAAATGATCTACATCTGGATCCCAATAACTGGCTCAAATTTTTTGAGGTATGAGATAATATTCAGTAGATCAGAGTTAAAAGCAATACACTAGAAAAGAGTGCCCTCTGGTGAGTTAGACTGAAAATACCAATTAGGCTAAAAATTGCATTTGTTGGCCAATTAATGATAAATTGTTCGATCTAATTAGTTCTTTTCTACTTTTATTATCCATGAGAATGACCTGCCTATGAAGGTACTGATGTTTATTTGTAGTGAATAATTAAGAGGGCTTTACATTAGCTTGTCAATCTTTTCTACTGTGATCTGCTAAAAATAAAACAAGCTATAAAAGATCAAAAACTAAAGTCAAACTGAAAATATTTAATTGGGACTCTCTAAAATAAACATGAAAGAATTTTTCTCTCTGACACAAAATTTTCCTTACTAAAAGTTGCATAAATTCAAACACATCTCATGTATTTCATTATACAGCCCACTAAATAAAATTTACACTATTGACAATGTCTATATTTCGTACAGAAGGACAAGGAAGACATTTGTATTCGTACAAGAGAAGCAATAAACACAGCTCTGTTATAAGAAATCTTTTGTCACCAATTATTTATACGAGAAAGATCAAGAAAAGTCCTGACAAGGAACCTTACTGGGGTCATGTAAATGTTCTAAACTGAATTAGGGAGGTGGCTGGATAACTCAGTAAATGTACGAAAGAAAAAAGTTATTAAATTGTACACTTAAAGCATTAATTTTATGGTGCATTATAGCTCAATTAAGTTTTTAAAAAATAAATAGATAAACATAAGTTTACTTAGGTGAGCAAAAGTTTAGTTTACTCGTGAACAGCAGGGATTTTAACTGCAAAGGTCTATTTATAAGTGGATTTTCTTCTGCCACTACCACTGCTGAGAGAGCAAGACCAATTCCTCCTCAGCCTGCTCAACTTGAAGGCAGAATAACTTTACGATGATCAACTTCTACCTAATGAATGACAAATATATTTTATCTTCCTTACAATTTTCTTAATAACCCTTTCCTTTAGTTTACTTTATTGTAAGAATACAATATACAATACAAATACAAAATATGTGTTAATTGACTATGTTATTGTCAATGCTTCCTGTCAACAGTAGGCTATTAGTAGTTAAGTTCTGGGGGAGTTCAGATTTATACTGCATCCCCAGCCTCTGCCTTCAAATAGCTTGCTATCTATTGAAGACTGACAATAGATGAGTAGTTAAAATTTCTCTGATTAAATTCAAAGAGTTAAATGACTTCTATATTTCAGAAAAGAAGGCTGTTCTTATAGAATCCTATCAAAATTAAAGCAGTCCAAGTAATCACATACTGAAATCAATATCCAAAAGTATTTAGACAGTAGCAACTTTGCTACCACAGCTAATACATGTGATGATACAGAGTTACTATATTTGGAAGATTGTTTCTCAATTTTTTTTTTTTTTTTTGAGACAGTCTCACTCTGTCACCCAGGCTGGAGTGCAGTGGCGTGATCTCAGCTCACTGCAATCTCCGCTTCCCGAATTCAAGCAATTCTCCTGCCTCAGTCTCCCTAGTACCTGGGATTACAGGCACCTGCCAACACGCCTGGCTAATATTTGTATTTTTAGGAGACATGTTGTTTCCCCACATTGGCCAGGATGGTCTTGAATTCCTGACCTCAAGTGATCCACCGGCCTTGGCCTCCCAAAGAGCTGGGATTACAGGCATAGCACCGCGTCCAGCCTTTGATTCCTTCTAAGTAAAAGTTTTATTGAAACATAATTTCATGTATTAATATACATATACATTGTGAAATAACTATAGTCAAGCTAATTAACATATCTATCACTTTACTTAGCTAACATTATTTTTGCCAATACTATAGTCACCATTCTGCACATTAGCTCTCTAGAACTTCTTCATCCTACATAAGGAAAACTTTGTACTATTTTCCTGACCCCTCCCAACTCTGCCCTTTCCCTAGCAACCACCATTCCATTCTCTGCTTCTACGAACTAGACTTTTTAGAGTCCACATTTAAGTGAAATAATGAAGTATTTTATTTTTGTATCTGCCTTACTTCATTTAGAATAATGTCCTTCAGGTTCATCCATTTATTGTTGCAAATGACAGAATTTCCTTCTTTTTAAAAATTGAACAATACTCTATTGGGTGTATATACGTGTGTATGTGTATTTCTTTATCTGTTCTTTGGTCAACAGATACTTATATTGTTTCCATATCTTGACTATTGTGAATAATGCTGCAATGAACAAGGGGTATGCAGATGTCTCTTCAAGACACAATTTCCTTTGGATATGTATCCAGAAGTGAGACTGCTGGATCATTTGGTAGTTTTATTCTTAATTTTGATATTAATGTTTCTCTTACACAACTTCTGACATAGGTCCCAATGATCCATGCTTCTTGGTATTCATGCACCTGTGTAATCCTCTACCCTTGAGTGTAGGCTAGCCCCCTAATAAAGAGAACACTGCAGAAGTGATGGGGTGTCACTTCTATTATTAGGCTGCAAAAAACTGACTTCCAATTTGCTAGCATCTTCTCTCTTGCCAGTCATCTTCTTGTCTGCTTGTTCTAATAAAGCAGGCTGCCACGTTATGAGATGTTCTACGGAGAGGCCACATGTCAAAGAAACAAAAGAAGCCTTTAAACAGGTCGTGACAAACTGAAGTCTCAAGTCCAGTAACCTACAGGGAACTGAATCCTGACAATGACTTGTCATTCCAGTCAAGCCTTGAGAAGAATGCAGCCTGCAAGTGACCCAGAGCCAAAGGACCCAGCAAAGCCACACCTGTCTCTCAACCCACTGAAACTGCCAAATTAAATGTTGTTTTAAGCCAGTAAGTTAGGGGAAATATGTTACATTAAATGCTAACTGTACATACCCAGACGCCATGACCATCCTCTATGGACCCAGTATACAGGCCAGCCCCACGGATGCAGGCACCAGGCCTACCTCCAGGAACTCAGGTTCCAGGTGCATCTCAGTACTAGACTGGCCCCTGTAAGCACAGGCTCCAGGCCTTCCCCCATGGGCCCAGGTACCAGGCCCATCCCAGTACCAGGCAGACCCCAACAGACTTAGGCTCTAGTCTCACCACAGTGCCAGACCAGCTGCTATGGGCATAAGTTCCAAGCCTAGCCCTAAGAACCCAGGCACTAGGGACACCCCTGCAGACCCAATCAAGTTGGCCCACACCAGTAGACCCTGGTGCCAGGCCAGCCCCAGAGGAGCCAGGATCCAGGCCCCCCAACAGAAGATCCAAAGTCAGTGTCTGCCCCAGTGAATACAGGCTCCAGGCTCAAACTCATAAACTCAGACAACAGGCTAGCCTCTGGGACCCAGATACCAGCTCAGTCCACCTGCTGACCCAGTCACAAGGCCAGCTCCCAAAAAGACACCAGCAGCAAAGCTCATTAATGAACCCTGCCAGAAAGCCTACCAAAAATCTCCGCATAGACTCATTAAGTAAAGGGAATCCCCTGCCAAAGCCAGTCTGTAAAGTCTGGAAGAAGCGTCTACTTCTTCAAATGCACAGAAACTAAGGCCATAAGGATCATAAATGATCAGGGAAACATGGTATCACTAAGAGAATAAAATAAAGCACCAGCAAACAATCCCAAAGAAATGGAGATCTTTAAACTGCCTAATAAAGAATACAAAACAATCATCTTAAATAAGTTCAGTGAGCTACAAGAGAATACAGTAGTCCCATTTTACTCATGCAGGATACACTGCACAATTCCCAGCAGATGCCTGAAACCAAGGATGGTATCAAACCCTATAGATACTATGCACAATTTTTCCCTTCACAATTTCACAGAGAGTAAATTTGTTCATATCACAGAAATTAAAAATCTCAGTGTACTTTTTTTTCTTTCCTTATTAAGTTGAGACTTTCACATTTTCACTTAGAAGAAACACTTTATCCTTCTCTTTGGCATTGCCAAACTGTCAACATCACTACTCTGCACTTTGAAGCCATTATTTAGTAAAATGAGGGTTACTTGAACAAAAGCACTATCAGGTTACTGAGACAGTGAACCTGATAACTGACATGACCGCTAAGCAACTAATGGGTGGGTTGCATCTATGGCATGGATATACTGAATAAAGGGATGATTCATGTCCCAGGAGGGATGAAGTGAGACCACTGAAGATTTCATTACTCTACTCAGAATGGCATGCAATGTAAATCTTATGAATTGTTTATTAATGAAATTTTTCATTTACGATTTTTATATTGCAATTGACCACAGGAAGCTAAAATCATATAAAGCAAAACTGGGGGAAAGGACAAGCTTCTGTACAGACACCAAAATCAGAAAATTGTTGCATGAACAAAATTAGAAATTCAACAGAGATAGAAACCATCAAAAAGAACAAAACAAAAATTCTTAATCTAAACAACACAATGACTGAATTGAATAATTCCACAGCAATCTTGAAGCAAACTAGATCATGAGCTCAAAGACAAGTCATTTGAAATTGCCCACTCAGAGAAACAAAAAGAAGAAGAAAGAAAAAGAATTAAGAGAAACTATAGAATTTATGAGATACCATCAAGTAAAGAAATTTACTCATTATGAAAGTCCCAGAAGGAGGAAAAAAAGAGAAGGAGATGAGAGGAGTTTACTTAAAGAAATAATAGCAGAAAACTTCCTATATCTGGAAAAAGAACATCCAGATCCTTGAAGATCAAATAACCACAAATAGATTAAATATAAAGAGATCTTACTGAAACACACAATAATCAAATTCTCAAAAGGAA